ACCAAATTAGATTGTAATCTCCTTTGTGTAGGAGAGGAAATAAAGACCAGAATATTAAAATATCTACATGTACAAAAATAGACAAACTGGCAGATTGCTGGTGTTGGATGGATGTTGAGCAGGGATGGAGGATGTGTGTGTGCATGAATGCATGGCCATGTGTGGAGAGCGGTCGTTCTTGTTGGTATCAGCTTAGAGCTTTGGGCTTCAGAACAAAAGATAAGCCACATCCCACTCAGGTACCCTAAAATGTTGTCTTCACTAGACACAAAAGAAAAGGGAAGCCAGAGATGTATGTAGCTTGTGCAGAGTTTTGGGAAAAACTCTTCTAGACTTTCTTAGTGAGCAGTATAGAAGGATTATTGTACAAGCCCAGTAATTTGGGCAAGGATCAGCTTCTGTTGCTTTTGTTTTCTGGATGCTCCATAATGAATGTGAGATGGAAACGGATGTCTCAAGTGCTTCTTGTTCTCAGAAACCTCCTGGCAGCAGACATCTCAGTGGGCCCAGATGTTCAGCGTGGCTGGAAGTAAAACACAGGGAAGGGTGCTCTTTGTCAGTTATCCTATTTTTTTAAATGCATCTACAAAGCTTCCTGTTTTCTAATATATTCCAAGCCTTTGAAAGACAAGGCCATAAACACTCAGGAGATGTGATTTTATTCATTTTAAGGTCAAAATACCAAAATACCTGTTATCAGGGCTCACCTTAATTAAATATGTATCTTAAAATTAAACCAATCTCAATTTAAGGAATGCATACTTAGGGGAGAAATGTATTACAATTTTTATTCTGAACACTTTAAATTCTGATAGGCCTAATAGTGCGAGCCTTGCCTTAATTGCAACCTGAGTCAGAATAACTGCCCTGCAGAGAATCATTTAAAATACCCAATCAAGTTATAAATCAGTCAAAATGCCATTCTGAGATATTATTTTATGCAGTCTTTGCAGAGAATAAATGCTATATAGCCCTTCTTCACTCCCAAAGTATATGTATATATTTAATGAAGTTAGTTTTCACCTTTTTATTAACATTTTTTATCCATTAAAAATTTTAGAATTCATTTTGTAGTATATCCTTTTTATCTTAGGAATATTAAAAATCTACCTATTTATGAATAACTATCAATAACCACATTTCATTCTTTGTGAAATCCTTTTCAGTTTTTGAAACTCACATGGGAGATCTTTTATTACTTTGCCCACAAGGATATAGGTTGGTTAAATTTACAGTGATTCTTTAATGATGATAATGTACATTTGATTGATATCAGTAAGAAATATTGATATCTTCAACATGAACATTGCTTGTAATGCTAGAAATTTACAAGTTGCCAATTTTTTGAATGTAACTATATTTACACACACAGACAACGTACATGACAGCACTAGTTATATTCGCTAAATTTACCTACTGATACTTAATCATTTACACAGCCACTATAATTTTATACTTGATGGCTTAAACCAGTAATTCTCACTTGAGGGTGGTTTTGGCCCCCGGGCTATCTAGCACTATCTAGAGACATTTTCCATAGTTAAAACTGGGTAGGAGGTGCCACTTTCGTCTAGTGAGTAGAGGTCAGGGATACTGCAAAATACTTGGGCTTTAGATTATAGTAATTTTGTGCAAATTAGCCAAATTTCAAAAAACGAGGGAGTAAAAAAAGATAGCTCTCAACCTGTGAATATTGTGAATGCCCGATCTAGAACTAGTAAGTGGACAGATGCCCTTGGGCCCGTCTTCTTAGGTTGCTGCTGCTTCATAATCGCTCACTGCCCATCAGGACCTTGTGGGATGCAGATTTAGACACAGGAGGGATTTGATCATACAGCTGGATCAGTCATAACCAATATGTGGCTCATAGTCTCATTCACATTGAGTTTGAGACTTTTAAGACGTGGGCTGGAATTCCTCGTGGAACTAACTTTATATACCTTGGAAGAAGTCTACCCACTGAATTCTACATTTATTGAGCTCTGTGTTTCAGGGACTATGCAATACCTTGAGGATACATACTATCTCATTTTGTCCCAAGTAGCTTTTAAATACTTGAGATTAAATGAGATAGTATGTAAAACCAAATACTTTACAGCTACGTGGGACTAAGTGTGATAGCATGTAAAATCGCAAATAGTAGACTGGTAAAGTGAGTCCTAAAGAATTTGAATGACCTGCTGTCAGCCTACTCAGCACTAACAGTGAGTGAGTAGCACCTTGTGTCTCTGTACCCAGGAATCTTTTGGGCAGGTCTGTGTTGAACATTGCAGCATGTTGTATATGTTGACTGGGCATCTTCTGTGCTCTTCAACTTTTGCCTGTAGGCTCCCTTCCTGCTCTGCACAGCTCCATGAACCAGGTGGAACACACCATTTTACCTTTTTGCAGTCTGCAGAGGTTGACTTGCTTCCCTCAGTTCACAGAGGTAGCATCCCAGGACTCAGGTTCATCTGAATTACAAGTTGATGGCCTCACTGCTCACAATAGCAAAGACATGGAATCAACCTAAAGGCCCATCAGTGGTAGACTGGATAAAGAAAATAGGATCACAAGGTCAGGAGATCGAGACCATGGTGAAACCCCGTCTCTACTAAAAAATAAAAAAAAATTAGCCGGGCGCAGTGGCGGGCGCCTGTAGTCCCAGCTACTTGGGAGGCTGAGGCAGGAGAATGGCGTGAGCCCGGAAGGCGGAGCTTGCAGTGAGCCGAGATTGCGCCACTGCACTCCAGCCTGGGCGACAGAGCGAGACTCCGTCTCAAAAAAAAAAAAAAAAAAAAAAAAAAAAAAGAAAATATGGTTCATATATACCATAGAATACTATGTAGTGATAAAAAAGAACGAAATTATGTCCTTTGCAGGAACATGGATGGAAGCGGAGACTATTATCCTTAGCAAACTAATGCAGGAAAAGTAAACCACATACTGCATATTCCCACTTACAAGTGGGAGCTAAAGATGAGAACTCATGAACACAAAGAAGGAAACAATAGAAAAAGCAGCATATTGGAGGGTGGGCAGTGGGAGGAGGTAGAGGATTAGGAAAAATATTTATTGGGTACTAGGCCTAGTACCTGGGTGATGAAATAATCAGTACAACTGACCCCTGTGACAAAAGTTTACCTGTATGGCAAACTTGCACAGCTACCCCTGAAGCCAAAATAAAAGTTAAAACAAAAAGTTGATGATTTCACCTGTTCTCTTGGGGAAGGCTCTGAAAGTAACAGCTACCTCTAGTTAAAAATCTTTCAGGAAAGAATCAACCAAATACAACATCACTTCTTTGTTTTTCTTGTCTGTCTCTTAATTATTCAGAAATGGGATTGCTGTATGGCAGACTTCCAAATGTCTACAGTAGAATTCAAAGATAGAAGCAAACACCTAAATCAGCCATGTGGTGAGATGCTATTTGTCACTTTCAAAGTTACAATCCAGATTTTCAGTGCATATTCATCCATCTCTGGTGAACTTTTCCCAGGATGGCATGTACTATGGAATTTCCCCCTGTTGGTATTATTGTTCTGTGACAGATCCAGCTCCAATATGTTTTATTTAAAAAAAAAAAAAGCCATGTGATGTATTCTGTTCAACTGATTACTTAAATGAAACAGATAATTATTTTCTGATGCAAATGCTCTGAATAACCCACAAAATCCTTAGAAACACATTTGCGGAATTTGAGATGAAGAACTCTCTAAAGGCACCCTCCTTGTGACACCTAGTGAAATGTTTTCCGTTATTAGGGGGTCATTTAACATACTGTCTATTGCTGCACAGCATTCTTTTATTGTCACAGGAGCAGCGATTTCTCTAGGGATAGTCATATTATCCATGTAGAGACAAACTGAGGTGGTTACCCTTTAAAAGTTGACTCCAGGCTCACTGGGAAAGTAACTCAAATGTAGCCTCAGCTTTTTAAATGGGCTAAAGAGTGAAGAGGATACCCTCTAATGTATGCAATGGATTACCGGAAAGTCAGGATAATCGTATCAACACTTTTAATTATGAATGAAGTCTTCAGGAGACTAGCACTAGAGCATGTATTTGAAATGCAGCATCTTGTATAGTTTTTTTACAAGGAAGCTGAGATTCAGAGCAGTGAAGTATGTAGCCTAAATATATATGCACTTGACCAGACCAAGGAGAATTTGTGTCCAAAGTCTACACTCTTTTCATTTGATGATGTTCCTTTTGTGACCTGATAAATATCCACATCATGATGCCAGATTGACTTGGATGCATACTTCCATTTTCCTCCTGCTGGAAAACTTTCAGAGCTCCATGCATGTCTCCTTAGGAAAATGTGACAGTTTCCTTAAACATTGGAGAAACAGTGTTTTGGAAGTACCCATGTATTGATAACCAGTCTGGTAAACAATAGCAAAACTGGGAGGTGTCGTTACCATAATCTGCATAACCTGTCTAACTCTTGAACATCTGTTTGTTCATTCAACACAGATTTGTTTAATGTTTTGTAAATGTCAGGCATTATTCATGGTGATAGGATGTACAGCAGGAATTAAGACAAGTGGTGGCTGCTAGGCATGGTGACTCATGTCCGTAATCCCAACACTTTGAAAGGTTGAGGGGGAGGATCCCTTGAGGCCAGCCTGGACAACATAGGGAGACCCGACGTCTACAAAAAAATCCAATGAATTAGCTGGACATAGTGGTACCTACGTGTAGTCCCAGCTACTCGGGAGGGTGAGGCAGGAGGATGGGTTGAGCCCAGGAGTTGGAGGCTGCAGTGAACTAGGATAGCACTACTGCATTGTAGCTTGGGCAATATAGCAAGACACCATCTCTGAAAAAAAAAACAAATAAAGACAGGTGATATTCTTGCTCTTGCCTACTATGTGGAGATGGCACTCCACACATTCTTATACAAATGAATAGAAATTTCATAGAGAGATGTTGTGGATTTCATGGAAGAGCCAGCCAGTGTTCTAGGTGGTCATTGTATGGCTTCATTATTCTTGTCTGCTTTCTTCCTCTTTTAGGCTGCCTTGGAGTTTTCATGAGAAATTGTCCCTGGAGGTGTTAGATGGTCACAGCTTCCTTGGAGCATTGCAGTTGCTGGAATCCAGTTTCAGGATTAAGGGAGGGCTGCCCCCTCGCAATGGGCTGCCAAGAAAACCGCTGTGCTTGTTCTTAACCTCAGGCTCTGTCTGTGATCAGTCTGAGAGTCTCTCCCAGGTCTTCTGCTCCCTGGAAAGCCCTATCTCTCTGCAGGCTTGCCTCTGGGCTTTGTCTCCTTGGAGCCACATCACTGGGACAGCTGCGGATGTGGATGCAGATTTGAACCATGTCGCGGCCCCAGGGACTGTTATGGCTTCCTCTGTTGTTCACCCCAGTCTGCGTCATGTTAAACTCCAATGTCCTCCTGTGGATAACTGCTCTTGCCATCAAATTCACCCTCATTGACAGCCAAGCACAGTATCCAGTTGTCAACACAAATTATGGCAAAATCCGGGGCCTAAAAACACCGTTACCCAGTGAGATCTTGGGTCCAGTGGAACAGTACTTAGGGGTCCCCTATGCCTCACCCCCCACTGGAGAGAGGCGGTTTCAGCCCCCAGAACCCCCATCCTCCTGGACTGGCATCCGAAATACTACTCAGTTTGCTGCTGTGTGCCCCCAGCACCTGGATGAGAGATCCTTATTGCATGACATGCTGCCCATCTGGTTTACTGCCAATTTGGATACTTTGATGACCTATGTTCAAGATCAAAATGAAGACTGCCTTTACTTAAACATCTACGTGCCCACGGAAGATGGTGAGTACCTCATTGGAACAGAAAACAATGCCTCTTGGGCAGTGTGTAGAGACATTGGCCAGGAGGGTTTTATAGTGTCTCATGCATGATCTTTTCTATAACCCGTTTTTTTTAATTTATTTTTTGTATTACAAATGCAGTTCTTGCAACAACTTATCACGTGTTCCACTTGTATATATTGGGCCATCTACTGGCTAGAGAAAACTATAAAAAATGACTTTAATTATTTTCATATATCGCCTTCTTAACTTTTTATAATGCTTATTTGCAGATGAAAATAAATATGAGCATATAATGTTGCATGTTATACCTGAATCATCTGTAAAGGAATGAGTCTATAGAAAAATAATAGAATTAAGTACACTATTATGTTCCAGTTTGCAAACTGAAAGATAGAGAAAATGGTTCTTTCTGCCTTAATGACTTAAGATATTAGCAACTTTTTTGAGTTTTCAAAGAAAAACTTGATAATGGTTAATATACAAGCAGGGGATAGTTCATACAATGGTTGGATTTCATTGTTTAGAATCCGTTTCCTTAACGTAAATTTGGATGTTCTTTTCTTCCAATATTCGCTGCAATCAAATGGCAAAATGTAGTCAGATGATTCTAGCTACATTAGAGATGAACACGTTTGTATTTTTAAAAATGTCCTTTTTTTAGTAAAACAACAATGAAAGTCTGTAGACACAATAATATTTAATATGTTAACCTAATGTTAGTAAAACATGAATAGTTTTATGTCTATAGATTTCAAATTCAGATTTTCTAGGAAGAATAACCAGACTAAAGTATGCCACAGTACTATCACATTTCCCAGTTAGCATTTCCATATGCCATATGAAGAGAAAAACAACAGAGAATAAAATATACCTGGAAAGAAAGGAAGAAAGGAAGTTAATTTGTGGGAATGACAGATGTATCTAATGTAGAAACTAGAGTGTGTCCTTTGTATAAAGTTCTTCGTGGAGAGTGTGATAAATTTCTTTTATGGAGAAATTTCTTCTTCTTCCTTTTTTTTTTTTTTTAACTTCAATCCCTGGAAAACATTTTTCAGTAAGATTTGGCTGAAAATACTAAGTAAACAACGACGTTAATCTAATGATCTCCAAAATTGTATTGCATCTATCAGATTTCTCTTTCTCCATATAAATGCCAGATAGTCTAAGTTAGAGTGTCATGAAAAACCAGACAAGGGTTGTGTGTCACTGAAATTACAAATTGTCGTTGAGATTACAAAGAACAGCCCAGAGAAAGAAATTAAAGGACTCTGCTTCATTATATTAGTGGTTTCTGGCATATTGCCCTTGTCGTTATGGTGACAGACCTCACAATTATCTCATAAAGTCCAGGTCTGAATGTGATTCAAGGAGTTAAACTGACATTTGGACGCTGTACTTCCATGGGGTGCTCTGAGCTGTCTCCATGCCTAACAGTCCCTCTTTGTGTGTGTGTGAGATGAATAAGAGCTCTCAAAAGCAATTAGGGTTCTCATTTGAGTAGCCACCTGGGTTGATATCTTTTTCATAACGAACTATTCAAACAAAAACCAAAAAGAAAGGAAGACAAAAATGGGGAGAAAACCCCGAAAACAGGACGAAGGGTTAAAATTGCTTTCATAATACCTTGGATGTGCTAGAGTCTGGTGATTTTATAGAGCTAGCCTTGGCAACAATGAATGCACTTCAAATAGAAGGCCACCTCATATAGGAGTTGGACAGATTGAGGCCACCCATGAGAAACAATCAATAGCCTCCCTGACTGCAGAGCCTCGTATGTACAATTGTGTGGCTGGAGACCACAAACAGTGTGGCCATTTCATTGTGATTCAGTATTGAATTAAAATTCGAGGAATGTAAATATGTGAAAAATGCTATTCAGTGAAAAAGTAATCCAAACCTGATAATAAACCCAGTTCCACTTGTTTCGTTCTTTAGGCTTTTTGAAGCATTATGCACATATGATCTTGACAAGGGAATCAGAAATCTAATAGTGACTGAAAAAGTAGAAGCGATCTCCCGACTATGTGTAAACCTTAGGATTTTGCTGGTGAGAGTTCAGAGCTACAGCCCTGCATGTTTATACAGTCCACAAATCACAGCCTTTGGGTTAGGAGTTTTTGTTTTTGGTTGCTTGCTTGTTTTCTTTTTTTTTTTTTGAGACCGAGTCTCGCTCTGCCGCCCAGGCTGGAGTACAGTGGCCGGATCTCAGCTCACTGCAAGCTCCGCCTCCCGGGTTTACGCCATTCTCCTGCCTCAGCCTCCCGAGTAGCTGGAACTACAGGCGCCCGCCACCTCGCCCGGCTAGGTTTTTGTATTTTTTAGTAGAGACGGGGTTTCACTGTGTTAGCCAGGATGGTCTTGATCTCCTGACCTCGTGATCCGCCCATCTCGGCCTCCCAAAGTGCTGGGATTACAGGCTTGAGCCACCGCGCCCGGCCTTGCTTGTTTTCTTAACTCTATCAACCAAGAAGCAGTGCAGGCGGGGCATGGTGGCTCACGCCTGTAATCCCAGCACTTTTGGGAGGCCGAGGCGGGCAGATCATGAGGTCAGGAGATCGAGACCATCCTGGCTAACATGGCGAAACCCCATCTCTACTAAAAATACAAAAATTAGCTGGGCATGGTAGTGCGTGTCTGTAATCCCAGCTACTCGGGAGGCTGAGGCAGGAGAATCGCTTGAACCCAGGAGGCAGAGGTTGCAGTCAGCCAAGATGGCACCATTGCACTCCAGCCTGGCAACATAGCAAGACTCCGTCTCAAAAAAAAAAAAAAAAAAAAGTACCAATGCAGAGCTTTAGATATTTAATTATTGGTTATTCACTAAATGAATGAACTCCGCATCCACAACAGCATATTGAAATGTTGACATCATGCTGATTCTCTCCAAAGGCCTTCCCTTAGGCAGTATCTTAATTCAGATCAATGCTTTTATTTAGCAGGATAGACAGCAATATTGTTATTTGGAATTTAAAGTTTCACTCTGACCAGTCTGATCAAGCCGGAAAGACAAATCTAAACAACAACAACAACAACAACAAATCTACTTTTTTTTGGTTTAGCTTTGTCTTTCTGCCTTGATCAGAATGGCTCAAATTTCTACGTTTCCACTTTCATAAAATGTGTAGGTGTATTAAAAATAAAAAAATAGACTTTATTTTAGGTACATACTTACCCTTGCATTTAAGAAATAACTTGCATGAGGAAAAGTGTTGGAAATTTCTTCATTGTACAATAGTTTATGAAACATATATGTTTTTCTTTAGAAAGCAATACTTTTTATAATAAATAAATCAGGTCTTGCTGAAGGTGAGTCTTTTCGTTTAAACTGGCATCATGATCTACTAAACTTAGGCTTGGGTCTTTATAACTATTTCCTATCTTACAAATTTCTTTATTTAAATGTTCATAGGTTATTACTTTCTCTTTGTTGTTAGACGACAGGCTAATTAACTTGAATTGCATATTTAATCTTTTGATAGGTGCTAAAATAAGGTCAAAATCAGTCAAGCCAGTTGGAAGCTCTAGTAGGACACATGGGCCATTGTTGACAAGGAGCAGTTGGAGACCGAATGACCGAATCTGCATGGTGTGTGTGTGTGTGTGTGTGTGTGTGTGTGTGTGACAGAGAGAGAGAGAGAGAGAGAGAGCGAGCAGAGAGAGAGAGTGACTGAGTGACTACTTTGAGGAAGCAATGCAGAATATGGCTTGGTAGCTTGATTAAACACACATTGTGAAAGTCCAGCTGAGAAGTTCCAGTCTCACATACTAAGTCCATATCAGTTCATACATGAGGGGATGGCACTACGATTCGTGATTCCTCTTGGTCACAAAGGAGACGGAACACAGAAAGATGAGCTATGGAAACATTTCAGGTTTTTAATGAGAACCCATGGTATTATTTAGAAGTGAGGCTAAAAAGTAAGGGAAAAATAAAAGACACATTTTGAAGGAGTTGCTCAGACAAACTGTCGTATTAAATATGAGGCCTGGAGAAGAAAGAGCCACAAGTGAGTCCAGGTTGCCTTGGGGAATGGACAGAGCCAAGGAAGCACTTCCTGAGTGACCTAAACCTGTACTTTCTCTCTGAATCCTTGGACATACATCTTAAGGTCTTATTCTTTTTTTTTTTTGAGACGGAGTCTCGCTCTGTCACCCAGGCTGGAGTGCAGTGGCGTGATCTCGGCTCAGTGCAAGCTCCGCCTCCCGGGTTCATGCCATTCTCCTGCCTCAGCCTCCGAGTAGCTGGGACTATAGGCGCCCGCCACCACGCCCGGATAATTTTTTGTATTTTTAGTAGAGACGGGGTTTCACCATGTTAGCCAGGATGGTCTCGATCTCCTGACCTCATGATCCGCCCGCCTCGGCCTCCCAAAGAGCTGGGATTACAGGCGTGAGCCACCGCGCCCAGCCAGGTCTTATTCTTGAAAGATTTCGGGGCGAGAAGCCCTTCCATTCTCCATCATGGGACTAAAAACACTGGGAAATATAAAGAAAAATATAAATGAAAGTCATTATTGCCCAGGCGCGGTGGCTCATACCTCTAATCTTTAGAAGGCCGAGGTGGGTGGATCACTTGAGGTCAGGAGTTTCTGACCAGCCTGGCGAATATGGTGAAACCCCATCTTTACTAAAAATACACAAAATTAGCTGAGTGTGGTGGTACATGCCTGTAATCCCCGCTACTCAGGAGGCTGAGGCAGGAGAATCACTTGAATTGGAGAGGTGGAAGGAGGATGCAGTGAGCCGAGATCGCACCACTGCACTCCAGCCTGGGCGACAGAGTGAGAATCCCTCTCAAAACAAAACAAAACAAAACACCAGGCATTATCATTGTATTTTCATTGTAGCATAATAGCAAATGCCATTATGATTTCTAGAAAAGCGAAATTCTGGTTTTTTTTTTTTTTTTTTTTTTTTTGCTAGCAATACAATTGAAAAAGTAAGATATTAAAAAACAACAGATGATTGAATGCAAGGTGTCTCTATCATCTTTTTCCC